TGGGAAGGGAGGGGTAAGGAGTAGGGGAAGAAAGGTAGCCTTACAATTAGCATGTATAATGTGGGGGTGGGGCATGGGGAGGGCTGTGCAACACAGAGAAGACAAGTAGTGACTCTACAGCATCTTACTACGCTGATGGACAGTGACTGTAATGGGGTTTGTGGGTGGGATTTGGTGATGGGAAGAGTCTAGTAAACATAATGTTCCTCATGTAATTGTAGATTAATGATACCAAAAAACAAAAAAAATCTACTTGAAGAGAATTAAATGACGAGAATGAAATACATACTTCTGAAACCACAGTTTAAAAGCTTGTTCAAACAGAATCCTAGAAGGTACCCAAAAAGGAATCTAAACTGATGTATCTCAAGGGCCATGTCTTTTGCAACATCAAGGTCACAGTTAACTAGGATAATACTCATCAGCTTGATCTGATTATGAGGATGACTTACACGTTTCTGATACAGGGAGAAATTGTACTTCAAAGTGCCAAGTACCCCTAAGCTAGGGAACTAGCCCCTCTCTAGGGAACCCTGACAAGTCTCACTTTCCAGAGCTCCAGCATCCCTTACCTCTCTAGGTGCTGTTCTTCCTGTCCAGTTAAGTCCTTTGCCCATTTTTTAATTGGGTTTTCATTCTATTATTGAGTTATAAGAGTTCTTTATATATTCTGAATACAAGTCTTTTATCAGATACATGATTTGCAGTATTTTCTCCAGTCTGTAGAATTTCTTTTGACTTTTAGATGTGTCCTTTTTAGTACAAATATTTTCAGGTTTGATAAAATCCAACTTCTACATCTTCTCTTTTGTGGCTTGTGCAATACCCGAACCCAAGATCACAAAGATTTACTCCTGTGTGTCCTTTGTAGTTTTCTATTTTAGTTCTTTCATTTAAGTCTTTGATCCGCTTTGAGTTAATTTTTGTGTATAGTGTGTCCTCCAATATACTTTATCATGCATATTAGAGATTATTTCCCATCACTGCACAAAATACTGTTTCATTTCATTTTACAACTGCATAAAAAAAAATCTTCTGCATGTACCAGAAAATTTTAACCAGTTTCCTACTGATAGATATTCAGGTCAACTGATAGATATTCAGGTCAATTCTAATTTTGCATTGAACAACTCTGTAATATTATTTCACCCATGACTGACTTTTAACTGTAGGACTGATTCTTAGGAGTGGAACTGCAGGATAAAATGATATGTGCAACTGTAACTGATAGATGCTGTTAAGTAATTAATCTCTGTACAAACTTCACTGATTGCACTTCTGTCAACAAAAGTATAAGCATTTCTCTATGACACCACTACAGTTTTCTAGAAGTTTTAGGCTGTCCACTTATGATGTCCCCTTCATCTTTTCATGCCTGCTGGTAGAAAGGCTGGATAATACTGTTTCCTTCTCTAAAATCAGGCATAAGTTATTTGGGGGAGTGTAATGAAATTCTGTTATTATGTTTGAATCCAGTGGACACATTCACTTTCAGCACAAGATACAAAATGTACCTTTTACTCATCCTGTCCTTGCTCATCAACCTGATTTGAAAAGCATCCTCAAAGACTTCTTTAATTCATGCTGAGTGACTTTGTCAGGCAGGCTCTTGAAAAGAGTGTTCTGGCATTTCTATCTACATAATCCACAAGAGAATATTTTTAGTCTGAGTGTTGATCTCATAAGCAGAAAAAATACTAAGAAAAAACAATTCTCAGAGTTGGAGACTGGAAACGCTATACAGTCTTTCAGTTAACAAATACTTGAACACAGAGTCTGGGTAAGGGTCTGTGCTATGTGCTGGCGATGAAAATACATACTTGACTCTTGGAATGGTGGTCTTACTTGGGGGGAAGGCTAGTAAACAAATAGTCACATAATTAGGAACCGTTGTAAAGGGCCAGGAAGGAAAAATTAAAGGGCCAAATGAGAACATCTACTAAAGAAAACTTAACCTAGTCTGGGGAAAAGGAAACATTTTTCTGATCTAATTTAAAGGAAGTGACTTTAAGCTGCAATTCTATGGATGGGTTACAAGTAGCCAGGGAATGAGTCCTGAAAAGAACGTTATGCAGAGAAGGTAAGGTAGAACACAATAGAGAGTAAGGTAGTAAAGAAGGTGATGACAGAGAAGGGGAGCTGTGCAGCTGTCGGAGGGAATGAGGGCAAGGTGGGTAGTCTGTGTGGTGGAAGTAGGTGACTTGTTGGGAACTGAAGAGTACTTGCCTGGAATAAGAAAAGGATTGATATTCCCACCTGAACCAGAGCCAGTAGATTCCCAGGTATTTATAACAAGTCGCCTCGTTTGCATACCTTTGTTTCCTTTCCTTTTGTTTTCTTCAGTTTAATTTCATACCCAAGGACCTTCATGCCACTAAGTTCCACAGCTTTATCCTCATCAGCAGCAGATTTAAAATTCACGTAACCAAATTGCCTTCAGAGATACAGAAAAAAAGAAGAAACACACAGGTTTCTGGCTGGCCAATCACACAAGAGCAGAAATGAGCATTGAGTCAAAAGCAGCTGCCAAATTTACAATTTAAACCAAGGCTCCACCAACTGGTAATATCAATGTCACGAAGTAACTGAGATCAGTGGTTCTCATTTGGGGGCAAACTTGCCAGTGGAGGCATTTTTGGCTGTCACACTGGGGGAGTGCTAGTATCTGGTGGATAGAGTCCAGGGACGTTGCTAACGGCTTACAGTGACCCGGCCAGCCCCCCCCAATAAACAATTATCTAGCTTAAAATGTCAATCATGCCAAAATCAAGAAACCCTGTTCTGAAGCAAAGAATCAGTCAGTGCAAATTCATCTGTGCAAGTCTTTATTAGTTTTCTATTTAACTGACCAAATTTAACCACAAGCTACAGAACATGAAGCTTGAAATCAAGTTTTAAAATTTTTGTTTTAACCATCACATTTGTGAATTAGAACAACAATCTTATTCCTACTGTGGAATGTGTTAGGAAACCCAGGGGCATTTACAGTAAGAACTGTTGTAACGCAAAAGGAATTCTTATTTACTGTAATTGCAACAATATTTCAAAACACAGTTTACAAAAACTCTAAGAAGAGCAATGAAACAAAAGTTGTGGCATAGGCTCTGGAGCCAAGAGTGCTGGGCTCAAGTCCTGGCTCTGTCACATTCTCACCATGTGATGTTGCACACGCTACTTAATATCTCTATGCCTCAATTCCCTCCTTTGAAAAATGGGGATAATGACAATCATTACCACTGAGGACTCTTTGGATTCAAGGAGTTAATATAAAACAAGGGACTAAGAACAATGCCTGGAACAGTGAGTGCTCAACAAATGTTTACTATTGTCTTCTTGTTTTTTACCTAAGCAATTCTGAGTACTATTAAATAAGCATGCTCAGACCCAAAACATATATCTCTGATGAGAAGCAAGTGGGAAAGGAAGAAATTCAACTTGGCAAAAAAGCAGAATTCAGACAGAACCTGTATTTGCCATCAGAACTAGGGATTTTATGATTACATCTGTGACTTAGTTTAAAATAATTCTAGGAAAATAACATTGCCCATAACTGGAAAATAGTGAAAATATGTTTCTGTAAACATAGGGGAAGATCTTGGAATTATTTTTAACATTTTTGTTGGAAAAAATGGGATAGCAAAGTTTAATATAATGGATTTACTAAATAAGCCACGTAAATACAGCGGTCCTCCCCTATCTGCAGTATCACGCTTTCCACGGTTTGTTACCCATGGTCCACTCCAGTCTGGAATCAGATGGTCCTCTTTCCGATGTAGTCAGAAGGCCAATAGTAGCCGAAAGCTACATCACAGGGCCTATGTCAATCACCTCACTTGATCTCAGCAGTAGGCATTTTATGATCTTACATCACCACAAGATGACGGGTGAGTACAGTACAGTAAGAATTTTGAGGGAGATCACACTCTATAACTTTTATTACAGTATGTTGTATAATCATTCTATTTTATCATAAGTTGTTATCAATCTCTTACTGTGTCAAATTTATAAACTTTATCATAGGTATGAATGTGTAGAAAAAAACATAGTATGTATACGGAAAGTTTAGTACCATCCATGGTTTTGGGAATCCACTGGGGTCTTGGAATATAGTTCCCCCTTAAGGTGGGGGGGACTACTATACTCATTTTGAATGGCAAAAGACTGAGGTAAAATCCCACCGAAGGGTGAAGAGTTGGTAAAAAAAAAAAAAAANCAATGAAAGACAAAACTACTGGAACCCCTAAATTCTCCAGGGATAATAAGTGCCAGGCTGATAAACTCTTAACAATATTCTCAATTTACCACTATTTACCTGGATAAGCCAATTCTGACACCAACAACTGGGAGATCATTTTTAGCAAAAAATTCAGAGACTAGTTTTTAGTTCAGCAGGAGTTTTTTGAAATTCAGGTTTCCAATAATCTGAAAGTTACAGGTGGCTCAATTGCCATACAAAAAGCTAAAAAAAGAGAGAAAATCCTCAAAAAGTTCTGAAAGAATGAAGCTGTAAGTTTACTGAAGACTCTAGCATATTACAACCCCACGCTGCAACAAAAATCCCTTTGCTCATCATCGGGGCTAACAGAGATTTAGTTTTTGCCAATACGAAATTCTTCATGTGTCTCTTGGGCTTTAAAACACAGCAAAGAAGTTACCTTCTAATTTCTGGTTTTTGGCTTCATGGGAAGCCTTCTCTATGGCCATTTCCTTCTTCTGTTTATCAGGTATTTTTTTGGATAGGCTCTGTGGGCAAGGCCAGAATATGGTATTTTTAATGATCTGTGTGCTATCAATGAGTAAACCTGGAAGCTTTTACTCTGTCCACGAATATCATACCTACACTCTGCTTATTCTTCACAAGACACACAAGTTAAATCTGGTTCAGAGTACTTCTAAGAGAATTTATAAATTGAGAAGGTTCTTCAAGTTCATAAAAGAAATCCAACCACCGCTACCCCAGGGCTTTCCTTAAATTCAAATTCCTCTATACTGGCCACCAGTTAACTGAACTGCTTTAGGTCATTCAGACCTTCCTCACTGCCTTTGTTACCAGCCTCCCTGTCCTGTTCATCTGCCTCAGCCCCAACAGGAAGGCCTTTTCTCCCTCTGGCTCATGTCAAGCACACAGTTTCTTTTTCAGAATATAAATGAAAACCCACCTCTCCAATTACTGCCCACAGACTTGTTACAAATGAGAGTGACAAACTGTTAAGAGAAAGTGCTCACAAACCTGACTATATACACAAGTATCAGGAAAAAATTCACTGCCACTGAACCATTTATTTTGAAATAATTTAAAATGTATTGCTGTTGCATTTTAATAAAAATGGTAAGAATTACTTCTTTGGAATAAGGGGCATTATGACTAGCACACACAATGTAGGGGGGGCAAGGGAAGGTGGTATAACACAGAGAAGACAAGTAGTGACTCTACAGCATCTTACTATGCTGATGAACAGTGACTGTAATGGGGTATGCGGTGGGGACTTGATGATGGGGGAATCTAGTAACCACCGTGTTGCTCATGTAATTGTATATTAATGATACAAAAAAAAAAGAAAAGAATTACTGTTTTGGAAGTAATACCATTTAAAATATTACACAGACTGTTGAGACAAAAAAAAAATCACCAAGAATTGTGTTTGAGGGACAATTAACCCGCCTGGCTCATTAGCACAAAGACAGAAACAATTAATGGATAATATTCAAAGAGAAAATTCTGACTCTGGTCATGTGGACAGCAGAGGTCAAATGTCCACTGAGACTCCTCCCCAAGGAAGCCACGCCTGAAGGGTCGGCCAGGCACTGTCAAGGCAATCTTCTGAAGGTGGTATTTTCACAGAATCCCTCCAAGAGTGATGTAGAATGGCACACGGGCTGACCCTTGGCATCTTACACTGCTAGCAGGAACGCCCCTCGAAGAGGGTTCTTTACCTCCCTCATCCTGGCCCGGCTCACTGTTCTTACCTTCATCCTGTAGTTCTCATTTCCTGTCTCGTGGTGCTTTAGCTTGGTGCTACTCCTGTCTTTTGGCAACATGGCCCACGTGGTTCCCTATGTGTGTGGTGATACCAGTTACTCAGCAAACACGGGAGGCAGAGATTTTCCCCCTCTACGTTATTTTCTGGAGCAGTAGTAACCTTCTAACCATTCTTCTGAGGGATGATGACCTGAAGGAGAAATACCAACAGTGAAGGGATGTCCTCCCCGTGAGGTTACAATCACGTAATACACTCGGCAAGTGCAAGATTTGGTCAGGCATGAATGTAACACCTATGTTCATCTCTCTATGACTAACTTCTCAATGTGTAGTAAGAGAGCTCCCAGCACCCGAATCAGCTGGCATGCTATCTAAAAAAAAAAGAAAACTCCTGAACTTCATTTAGAGCTATCAAATGAGAATCTTTACAGGGAAGGATCTCGGTTTCTAGAAGTATGCAAGCTACTGCCCTAAGAAAAAACAAACAAACAAGTCAACTACTGTTTAGGTAGTTCCCAAGGCTTTAGAGTCCCACCTCTTTGCATATAAGTGAAATACCAAAGAGAGCCCCCCATAGGCAACTGAAACATACATTGGAATGACAGCCAAGCCCCAGAGATTGGACCTCATGCTTCCTACTTACACCATCAATTCTCAGCCCATAGCTACTAATAACTGGGCGTGGTATTATAAAACTAAATGACTCAAGATTTTAGCAGAATACTGAGTAAGTCTCGCTATATACAGAAGAACAAAATAAAGAAATATGGGTGATAAAATAGAGCGACTGTCTTTATCTGTTGCCAGTATTAACTGGCAGTATTAACATAACAATGTCATTTTGGAGGGAAGGCACCACTGGTATTACAGTATGACTATATCCCCCTAAAATCCGGAGGTTGAACTCCAAGTCCCCAGAACATAAGAACATGACTGAGTTTGGAGATGGGGCCTTTAAAGAAGTAATTAAATTACAATGCGGTCATGAGGCTGGGCCCTAATCCAATATGACTGGTGTCCTTATATGAAGAGATTAGGACACAGATGGAGGAGGGATGTGAAGACACAGTAAGACCTGCAAGCCCAGAAGCAAAACCTCAGAAGAATCCAAACCTGCCAACAAACTGCATCTTCAACTTTGGGCCTCCAGAATTGCGAGGAAACAAATTTCTGTTGTTTTGGCCACCCAGTCTCTATTTTATTATAGTAGTCTCAGCACACTAATACAATCAGAATATATATATATAGCTCTCAACCCACATCACAGGAAGAGACAAGTAACTATAATATGACATGATTAGTATTGCTGATTATAAACAAAATTTATAGGCAAACAGATGAGGGATATATCCATCCGGCATGGGATGATGTGGGATCAGGGAAGGCATGTGAAAAAGACCAGGGTTTGAATTAAATGATTTCAGTAAGCCAACATTAGGGGACAGTTACCCTGAAAGTTAACCTAACTGTGGTATTACCACTATATTCTGCACCAATCCAAGTAAGCAGGTCTAGGAGCCACATTTTGAAGAGGAATAACCAAGGGTGACCAGTGTGAACAGTCTAGAACACTATCACATGTGTATCAGCCTCAGGAAAATGTAAAGTGAATACTCCTGTTTTCCTTCAAGCTAACACAAAAGCTGTATTCATCAAGAATTTTCTGACTCTGATTGGTATAGAAAGCTATTGCATTAAATTGTTAACGTCATAGTATAGCAGTTGCTCTCTTAACTATGTCTACTAACTATGTCATACTAAACTATGTAGTTTAGTCTATGGCTGGATTAAATGACAGTCTCAATTCCAAAGAGGACTTACTAACTTGATGCCCATGATATGCCAAGCATGTGTGGCTAGTAGGTTACTCTGTGGTACTCCTAGTACACCTGGGCATTTCTGTTCCCCTAAGTTGAAATGTATCCTTAATAAGTATCAATTGTGCTTGTTCACAAACCTATACATGACCACTGGATTTGCAATTTCAGTTACATAATAAACATCATACAAACCAATCAAATCAATGCAAAAAGTAAGTTTTTTTTAATCTATGAAAGCAAATTTGAATGCTTTGGACATCCTTGATAAAGCTTAAACAACCACAGTCAAATTAGGTGTGGGTGAGCAACTGTAAAAGGATGGAAAAGAAACTACAAATGTGGAAGTCCATATTCAAATTGCTTTAGCAGGGTTTTTAAATTTTTTGTTTAGCTTTAAAGAAACAAACTTTAAATTGTGGAAGATGTACTATGGGTGTACATTACTCAGGAAGGACAAGCTAACTCCAACAGTGAACTCAAAGTCACTTAGACCAACATCAAAAACTTGACAAATGACTGTATTTTACACGCTTTAAATTAAAATCAAAAGTTGTATGGGTAATACACTTTCGAATGATTATAAAACAACTATTAGACTGAATAAGATTGGAGAAAGTTTCTGTTACACAACTAGCTGTTCAAAGTGGACACTGAATACATGCTACCTGCCTCTCAAAACAAGATGGCTTGGCGGGAAGACTAAAAAATGAATCAGGAAAGAGTAAGGGCTTTGAATTTGGCAGAACCTTGCAAGATCCCGGCTCTGTCACTTATTAGTTGTGAAAGCATGAGCAAGTTAATTAATGGCTAAATCTGTTTTCCTGTCCTTAAAATGGAGCTAATGCCTACCTAATATTGCTGCTGAGGATGAAAAGACAATGCATAAGGCCCTAGCAGAGTGGCTGCATATATGAAGCATTCAATATTCATTAGCTGTGTTGTGTACCCACTCACCCACCTCAATTCTTTTTGGACTCAAACCAATCTATATTCAAAGACCAATGCAAAGGATCCCCAGCTAGAAGCAGAACATAGTAGGGACCTAAATATCAAAGAATAAACATGGAAACATGTTTTCCAGGCACACAAACTAATGCAATTCAATGAAGCAATTTTAAGAATTAAGAAATTATTTTCAAACCAGTATTTCCAGGCAACCATATCACTTTTCAAACAAAAACACTTCTGCATTCCCAAAAATAAACTGCACTTTGTCGTGATGTATCAGTCTTTCACGTGACACTGATACACAATTCGCTAATACATTGTTTGAAATATTTTATCTATGCCAATGATCTGTAATCTTTCCTAAAAATGACCTTGTCAGATTTTGCTACCAAGTTTTGGGTAGGCTTGTGAAACTAGTTGTGATGTGTTCACAATGCCACTTTTGAGATTAAACAGTGCAGTTTAATTTACTCTGGATTTTGACTGTTGACATGTTATTCTGCTCCACCTTGTACATGTTAGCACTGTTCCACCTCATCTCTACTGCCATTGTCCTCATCTTCTACCTCCTTTGGGGAAAGATTCGTTTTTTTCAGTTCACCTTGATTTTTTTCCTGCTTAAAAGGGGCAAGATTATTAGGCACATCACAGGGCCTTCAACGCTCCATGCTCTGCATGTCTTGCCTCTAGAACCTGCATTTCCATTTGTAATAAGTTCGTGTTAGGCATCATTCTAAAGTTAAGATTCCATTTTCATTCGGATTCTTTCACTGGTAACACCAAAGAATATAAAAATATATAGAAAAATACTTTTAGTATGTTTGTAGGTCAGGTCTCGCATGATCTAGAAATGTAAACTCCTCAAGGTGAAAAAGGCAACCTTCCAGTTATTTCTCTTTTCCTCTCATTCTGCTCGCTTCATCTTGCGTTTTCAGGTAACTGATGTTTTCTAAAATTCCACTACCGACTGTTCACAGGGAAGCACACAGGGAAAAAAATGAAGCCACCATACGGGAACAAAACCAGGACCTACACATTTCAAGTGTCTTTACGTCTCCAGACTGAGCGCTCAGTGTCAAGTGATGCAGCTTCCATCTCTAACTCCCACCAAAATTTACAACACAAATAGGGAGTTTCAAACCGGAACCTATAGCCCCCACTTCCCAAAGTAACCCGCACAATCTTGCCCCGGATCAGTTCTCTTTTTAAGGCTATCTCCGGTTAAGCCCCGCCCACCTAGAGTGCTGCCGGCCACCACGCGCTGTAGATCCGGGTAGCACGTCCCGGAGGGGCCTGCCGCGGCTCTCAAGGGCCAACCATTAGAGGGCGACCTCCCACCAGCTGCCCAAGACTCGAGGCCCGGGAGGAACACAACCGGAAAACGACGGCGCCCCCCGTGACTCCGCCTCAACCAATCAGAGCCGCTCCGCCTCTGGGCCAATCCCTAGCCGCTACGCGAGGAAGGGGCGGGTGGGGCGCGAGCCTGGAGGGTGGGTCTCAAGTGGAGTCCCCGAAGTGCTTGCGCGGAGGTTAGGTTCCTGTTCTCAGGGTGCAGGGAGAGCACCTCTCATGTGAGGGTCTAAGACCTGCTTCAAGGAAGGTCTGAAGGCCCTTCCTACATGTGCCATTTCTCAAATTCCTTCAGTTTAAAATATTCAGTATGGCAAAGTGCCAAATTTGGGTAGTTTGTCTTGAACCCCCTCATTATAAACACCTGAAGAGAAATTTGGCTATTTCCAGCTGAGGTAATTCTCATTTTTTACATTTAGGAATTCCATTTATGAGTAACTTAGAGAAAGTTACACTGAGAGATAAATATGTGAATCTTTATTGCAAACAAAATCGTTTTATTATAGACATTTTCAAACATAAACTAAATAAAGTACAAAATGAATCCCCTTTTACCCATCACCCAGCTTCAAAACTTCAATATTGTTGCCATTCTATTTTACAACTATTCCCTTCTCTACTTTTTTCCGCTCTCCCTCGCTCCTTTTTTTTTAATTTTTGAGTTTTTTAAAGTTTAAACTGAATCCCAGGCATCCTGTCATTTTGCCTGTAACACTTCATTATGTACCTCTACTGGATATTGGCCTTGATAGCATCTAAGATCTGATCAGTGTTCAATTTTCCATCTCAAAAGTTTATTTTTACTGTTGGTTTGTTTAAATTAGGATTCAAAATTTTCCACTCATTACATATTGTTGATATCTTAAATCTTTTTAAATCTATAACACTCAAACCATCTTTAATGCTATTTGTTTTTTGAAGAAACCATGTCATGTGTCATTCTGGATTTGGCTGATACCTTTGGGGTGTCTTAAACATAGTTCTCCATCTGCTGTGTTCTTGTAAACCGCTAGTTTGATCTGGAGGCTTCATTAGATTCAGGTTTCATTTTCTTTGCAAGAAGACTCCATGGGTGGTGCTGTCTTCTTGCATCCCTGGAGGAGCCACTTAACGTCTGGTTGTAACACTTAGAGTGATGTTAAAATTGACCAGACAGTTGGGTGTTGTCAGCTTCATCCATCCATTATGATCATCGACCTTCTACCAGATGGTTCTAGGCAGTTGTTTTGTAAAGTAAATAATTGAAAACAATCTATTACTCATTAATGGGGGAAGGAGATATGTGTGGGGAAATGATAGCGATCAAATTGCCAAAATGTTAACAGTGGTTAATTTAGATGTTGAGAATAGAAGTAATTATTTCCATTTCATGTACTTCATTTTTTCAAATTTACTAAAATGGAAACAAAAGAAATCCTGCCTATGCATGCCTGACAAAAGGGTGACAGACAGGGAAAAAGGTGAGAGGAAAGGTTCCAAATCCAAATTCTAGGCAAGGGCAGTCAGGAAATCCAGAGAATGAGGCTAGGTACTTAAATATTAGATTAAAAAATAGCAGCTCCTCTTGCAGGTGGTCCAGAGAATTTGGTAGCAGCTTCCAGGTCCTCCAGCCTCACCCAGCCTGTGGCCATCTCTCCTGAGCCAGGGCACTGTTATCTAGCCAGGTACAGCCTCGCCTGAATCCCTACAGTCCCCAACCCGAGCCTTGGCCTTTATTCCTAAACAGCCCCCCAACTGTCCTGCCCTGCTCTGTGCAGAAGCTTAAAGAAGGTGAGGCTGGGGTGTTGCATTTGAAGAGGCCACACAAAGAGATATTTACCTTAGAGAATAACTTCCATCCTCAGACTGAACCTTATAGATTTAGTAACCTGGACACTATTTGGAAGAACACTGCTGTAAGTGTTGGACTCTGAATCTCTTATTTATGTGCAGCCAGGTTGTATATTCCTTCTTTAGAAATGCCAATACCCAGTGGCTGTAGTGGGGTGTGTGG